AGCATTGAAACATGTATATTATCTAGGGTGAAACAGATCACCAGCCCAGGTTGGGTACATGAGACAAGTGCTCGGGCCTGGTGCACTGGGAAGACCCAGAGGGATCAGGTGGAGAGGGAGGGGGGAGGGGGGACTGGGATGGGGAATACATGTAAATTCATGGCTAATTCATTTCAATGTATGACAAAAACTACTGTAATGATGTAAAGTAATTAGCCTCCAACTAATAAAAATAAATGGAAAAAAAAAGAAAGCATTTTTGCACATGCAATATATACAATCCTTTACAAATCATAAATTTGGAAAAAATACAGTAAAAAAGCAGACAATTACAAATATAATACACAACTAGATTCATGTGACATTGCAAAAGTTATCTCCATATACTTGACCATTTATTTCTATAACCAAGACAGCTTTATGAATAAATCACATTTTAGAGACCTATAGGAAAACATACATTGATTAGAAAAAAAGTTTCATGATCTTACATAAGTTTGATGAGTTATATCTAACAGGACTCGTGTCCATGAACATTACCAGAACATGATTATACAGATTAAATTTTAATGAAGATAAGCTTGATCCAGTTTCTGAAAGTTAAACTATATACTCTATTTAGTTCAGAAAATTAATCAATCACAGAAATGAAGGAATCCTTTTCCTAGTAATCACATTCCATAAAGCCTTCTTCACTTCCCTGTTCCGGAGGCTGTAGATCAGAGGATTCAACATGGGGATCAACACAGTGTAGAACACGGAAGCTACTTTGTCCTGAGTCAGGGAGTAGCTGGAAGTAGGTCTGAGATAAGTGTAGATGGAGGTGGAATAGAAGAGGATGACGGCTGTCAGGTGAGACGCACACGTGGAGAACGCTTTGCGCCTCCCCGCCCCTGCGTGCACGCGGAAGATGGAGAAGAGAATGCAGCAGTAGGAGGTGAGTACAAAGGACAGGTTAGCCAGGAAGAAATACATGGGTATGTGAAGTCGGGAATCAGCTCTGATTAAGAGAATCATTCCAACATTCCCCACAACTGTAAGTGTATAAATCACAGAAAAAAGGCAAAATAGGGTAATCTGTAACTCCAATGAGTCTGCCAAACCCAACAGGATGAACTCAGTGAGCAAAGTATAATTTTTTCTGGCCATTTATTACAGACATTTTATGCTTAAACTTGAATTCACTCTAAATATTTTCCTCTCAAAAGGTCACAGGAAGTAGTAGGCCTAATAAAATTAGTCACACATGAAAAAAAATCTAGGATAACAGAGCATAATGTATAGAAAAAGTGAAGCAAGAAGAAAATTAGTGAAAAAATCAATAAGCATTGTTCTTAGTTGCTGTCATGTCCCAGTCTTTGTGACCCCATGGACTGTAGCCCACCAGGCTCCTCTGTTCATGGGATTTTCACAAGCAAAAATACTGGAGTGGGTTGCCATTTCCTTCTCCAAGAACAAGCATTGGAATTTACTAAACAATTCTCCATGTTAAAATACACCTGGGTTGAAGGATTCTCAAATTATTGGACTAAGTACACATATTTCACTTCAATTTCTGCAAATGCAATATATATATTCTATACCTTCTCTTCTAGCCTATGTCCAAAATGCAAAGTACCAAACTATTCTAGCTGAAGTCTCTCCCATTGTCTGAACAGGTATGTGAGTTTAAATCAATGCAATTTTTTTCTCCTCAGGACCACTTTGTATATTCTGCAACTCTAAAATCTATGTAAAGTAATTAACCTCCAATTAAAATAAATAAATTAAAAAAAAAAATCTGTGCATCAACACTTGAAAATCACTTCCCTATTCCCCATGCAGTAAAAAAAGTCCATTTCAAATAATCACCATTTTGACATTTACCATATTCATAAACATGATTTTGTCATGTTTTGAATTAAACCAAACAACTCTTTCATTACCAAGCACCTACCAAATTAATGCCATGCATTAATATTAGCACACAATGTACCTGACCCATCAGTCAATGGCAGTGCCAAGTACTTAACAGCATCCTTCCCATTGCTAACTTGTCTACTTTATTGTTTTCTTTTTTTATTAGAAAGCCAAATAACTCAGTTGAGGCACAAAAGTGAAATGAAGATTTTCATTTTCTAAATGAAATGAAAAGCAGAGAAATTTGGAATTACCTCTTTGTAAAAATCTGCGACACTTTCTCAGCATGTACACATTGCTGCCTTCTATTTTGTCTTCCTTGAAGAGGGTTGGGTAACCATGAGGATGGGATTACAGGTTTTGATTGTGGCATCAGTCCTCTAAAGGCATAAACTCTAATCTCAGAGGTAGTTAAAATAAGATCACATGCAGTTAGATGCAGTCAAACAGGATGTGGATCCTGCATCCTCATGTGATTATTGATCTCTTTGTTACCTTAATGTTTCCCCAATGTTTAAAAGATATTAATTTTAATTGGCTGTTTAATTGCATCCTTGTAGCTTTAGCATATTCCAAAAGGGTGCAGAGCCCACTACCAAGTTATTATTTTTTCTTTTCTGTTTGAGTTTATGTGTGTTCATGTGTGTGTTCACCCCTCCCCTTGTTTCAGTGAGTTTAACCTTTATTCCAACTCGGTAACTGAGTGAAATAAATAAGAAAATGACACTCACTTCAATCCTTTTTAAAAACCCTTTTAAATACTCTACTCTGATTAAATAAGACAATATATTAAAAAAAACATACTTTAAAGATTCTGTAATTGCATTTGTTTGTTGAAATTGTCTGTGATTCTGATCTTACAAAGAATTTAAACTACAAATATTCCACACCAAAAACACAAATCACAAAGAGAAATGGATCACACTGTGTGTCCATATGAAGAGAGTCTGTTTGCATAGAGAAATAAATAAATCATGGCAACATATTCTTAGCTCAATCTCCAAGGTAGCAGAAATAAAAACTGAAATAAATAAATAGGATCTAGTGAAACATATAAGCTTTTGCCACCATACAAAACCATGAGCAAAATGCAAAGACAACTTAGGACTGGGTAAAAACTTTTGCAAACCATGCAAATGACAAGGGCTTAATTCCCAAAGTATACAAAGAGCCCATATAACCCAATAACAACAACACAGCAAAACAGCAAAAAATCCAAGAAAAAATTGACAGGACCTGATTACATTTTTACAAAGAAAACATACAGATGGCCAACAGGCAAGTGAAAAGATGCTTAACAACAGGAGTTATTAGTGAAATGTAAATCAAAACTACAATAAGGTGTCACCGCACACCAGTCAAAATAGCCACCATTAAATAACAAACAAAAAAGATCTACAAATCATAGATGCTCGAGAGCTGATGGAGAAAAGGGGCTCCTAGTGCAATGCTGGTAGGAATGCAAACTGGTGCAGCCACTGTGGGAAACTTATTGAAGTTCCTTAAAAATCAAAAATAGAATTACCATATGACCCAGCGATCACAATCCTGGGTATCTATCTGAATCAAACTATAATTTGAAAATATATATACTCCCTTATGTTCATAGTAGTACTATTTACAATTGCTAAGGCATGAAAGCAATCTTAATGTCTGTTGACAGATGAATGGATAAAAATATTGTACATATATACAATGGAATATTAGCCACAAAAAAGAATAAAATAATACCATTCACAGCAACATGGATTGACCTAGAGATTATCATATTAAATGAAGCAAGTCAGAAAGAGAAAGGCAAATATCCAAATATGGTATGATATCATTTATACATGGAATCTAAAAAAATGATACTAATGAACTTATTTACAAAACAGAGAGACTCACAAACATAGAAAACAAATTTATAGTTACCAAAGGAAAAAAAGTGTAGGGGGAACAAATTTGGAGTTAGGATTAGCAGATACAAACTATTATTTACAAAATAGATGACCAGCAAGGTCAGAGTATGTGTGTGAGTGTGTGCCCGCACATGCATGTGTATATATACACACAAGGAGCTGTATTTAATATCCTATGCTGTTGTCCAGTCACTCAGCTGTGTCTGACTCTGTGACCCATGAACTGCAGCATGCTGGGCTTCCCCATCCTTTACCATCTCCCAGAGTTTGTTTAA